TATAGGTTCATATGGTGTTCTACGGGTTTCTATGGAAAACTACGGCCGAAAAAATTAAAAAATTATAATTTTCAATATTATGTAGAAGAAAAAGGAAAAAATACGAAAATACAAAAAAAAAATTGTTCTACAAAAAAAAATAATAATAAAAATGCTAGATGCGAAAATAAAAATGTTAAATGTAGAATGAAAAAATGTTAAATTCAGTTTAAATATTACTTGGTGCATATTTGATTTTTTTTGTATGTGGGGGCATTATTGGAATGAAATTTATAAAGGATGTGAAGCTAATGTTTAGTTAGACTTGTCATTTAGTTCTAATATGTTTTCCCACCAGGGACCTATATCTTAAAGCCCCTTAAATGTAATTTGAGTTTAGACACCGGGGAAAATTATGATTAGGTATTTTAAGTTTACAAACTTTACAATTTAGTCATATTTTTTATTTTATTTTTATATATTTCTTTTAGGGTAAAGAGGTATTTTTATAACTTGCAATTTTTTGTTTGTACATTTTTACATTTCTCAAGGTTTAAAGAATTGTTCTGAAATTAAAATTAACATTAATTTATTTGATATTAATTCTGATTTTTTCACATTAAAATTAGAATTTTGTCACACGTAATCTTAATATATAGTATTCTGGAGTATTTATTATTTTAATTCAATAAAATTTCATTGAAATAAATTTTCGTGTTTCTTGATTTTGCAAACACGAAAAATTTGTGTTACATAATAGAGTTGTCATGAATGTTTGTAGAAATGCAATGTTTTTCTTATTCCTTGATTTCTTGAAATAAATTGCGTTTTTTCATGGAAAAATGTTTAAATGCCAATTGCATTTTGGAAGAAGGGTCTATTTATGAAAAGCCTCTCATTGTTTTATAATTTACATTCATCCCTTCAATTTGTGGATTTTTTATATTAATACCCTTTTAAAGGGGTAGATATAAGAAATTTACAAACTTTAGAGGATCGGACGTAATTTATCCAAATAAAGGGACTCTTTTGGTAATTACATTTATCTTAGGGACGTGATTGTAATTTACACTTGGGAAAAATGTTATCTTCTCATCCAAACACTACCAACTAATCTCCAATCGAAGAAATTATGTGGAGATCTATATCCGAATCTCCGACGGACGGCGGCGGCGGCGGCGATGGTGGCGGATGGGAAGTTGAAAAGGGAGAGACGAGTCGTCGGAAGCGCTCGGGTTGGGAGCGATGGGAAAGGCTTTTCCTTCCGTAACGGAATATTCCTTTCCTATCCCTCCCATACCGAAGGTTTCCGATCTATCCTCCCTTTTACTTCCATCTTTTTTTTCTTCCCCCTTTCGTTGGTAACGGAATATTCTCAATTTATTCTTTCCTGCTCAGATCAAGTTGATTTTCATACATGTGTAAAAATTTATGTTATTCTCAATTTATTTTTGAATTTGTATTTTGTCACAGTGTATGTTGATTGAATCATCATGGTATAGTGGGTAAGATCTGCAGAAAATTGGTATCAATTGCTTCATTTTTAGGGTTTGGTCTGCAGAAAATTAGCAGCATAATAAAGTTTCATTCTTCTATTATTTACAGTTAATTTAAGGGTTTGATTTTGCTACTTTTAAATGGAAAAAAAATTCCTTTGTACTAATTTGGTTGTGCATTGCATACCATGTAGTGATTTAGATTTAGTGTCGATTATTGGTTTCGAATCCAGTTGTATGCAACTGAAGAATATGTCGATGCTATATTGGACAGTCCAGTTGGTTTCGATGCACCGAATGTATACAATTTTTAGCCTGTTATTGCAATCGTGCCTTTTCTCGTGTCTTGTAGGAAAATCAGAACCAGAGAAGACAGCAGTTAACGACATTTAGCAGCATGCGATTAAGCTAAATTAGGACAAAAGATTTTGCAAAGTCGAGATAGATATATTGTGGTAATGTTAGCCTCGTTTGCCTTTGTGAGTAGCGGAATTACAGGTACGGAGTTTTACCTGGTGCCAGAAACATTACAGTTTGTTTATTAAAAAAATCGTTAGGAATCGGTTTAAACTAGACAGTTTTGCATTCGATTTTCAAATTTCAGATTAATTTTTACTTGTTTCATTGTCCAGGATTTGTATAGTCACTATGGCGGGCAGAGAGGACGGTAAATTTAATGTCTGCAAATGTTTATTAATATTTCATTATTTGTTCTTTGCCTTTGGTTCTTGTGGTTTGTCTCGATAGACACAGACAAAAGTTTTACATATTTATACGAAACGCATGATAGGATTAACTGTTAGTTGGCACTAATCTTTGTTATTGTAATAAAATTCTGGCATCATGACAATGAAAGAATCCAGAAATGTCGATTTCGTAAAATCATTTAAAAAATCAGAAATTTGGTAGCACCCTTTTGGAGATTTCCAGTCCTTCCAAATCTAAATTCGCCATCTTCTCGACTTCCCCTCTTACAAATTCAAGATCCCTTTTCATACTAATTATTATCTGACATCTTTCTCTCTCCTTAAACATAATTCCATTACCAGAGATTCTTGATTATGAGTTCTGCATCTCCATCACAAAAGCCTGATATCACCTTATCCCTAAATTTATCATCACCATCTCCCTCACCGAACGACGGCCTAAAGCCCCAAGAAAGGAGCGTCGAACTAATCCAGCTCTTGCTAACATGCGCCAACCACGCCTCCTCCGGCAACCTCCGTCATGCTGACACCTGCCTCCGCCGGATCTCCGAGCTGGCCTCCGTCTCCGGCGACTCCATGGAGAGGTTGGCCGCCAGGTTTGCCTCCGCCCTGGCCGCCCGCCTGGTTAAGCGTTGGCCGGGCCTCTACAAAGCCCTAAACAACGGTGGGCTGGGCCTGGTTAGTTTTGATATGGATCGTGCTAGATCCGTTTTTCTTCGATCGTTCTCTTTTTTGAGCTTTGCGTACGTGATTATAAACCGGACATTGATCCAGGCAATGTCGGGCGAGCAGGTGATCCATATTATCGATCTGGGGTCGGGCGACCCTAAGCTGTGGGCCCCGTTTATCCGGGGCGTAGCAAATGGGCCTGACGGGCCTCCTCGTTTGAAGTTCACTTTCGTCGGTTTGAGCAAGGAAGCCCAAGAGAGATTACAGGGTAGGCTTGTGAAAGAGGCCAAGACTTTGAACATCATGCAAATCGAGTTCAACATCGTAAACGCTAAGCTCAGAGAGTTGACTTTGGACATGCTCAAAGTCAACTCTGACGAAGCAATAGCATTGACTTCGATCTTGGGCCTCCACGCCCTACTAGCCGAGGACGATCGTGTCGATGCTCGTTTTGGGCTGCATAATAACAACGATAAAAAAATAAACCAAGTAAAAGAATGCAAGCGAATGACAGAGTTTCTTGAAATGATTAGGTCCATCAGGCCAAAAGTGGTGTTGCTAGTGGAGCAAGAGTCAGATCATAATTCGACCCGTTTAGCGGACCGTTTTGTGGAAGGGTTGCATTTTTACAGCGCGCTGTTCGATTGGATAGATGTGAAGTTTAGTGGATTCTCCTGCACGGATCGTACGAGGTTGGAGGAGATGTTTGGACAGGAAATCGAGGATATTGTGGCTGGGGAAGGATTGGAGAGGGAGGAGAGGCATGAGAGGTATGTTAAATGGGCTTTCAGGTTTACAAAAGCGGGCTTTAGGCCCGTCCGTTTGTGGTACGAGACGATGGATGAGGCCCGAGAAATGGTGGAGGGTTGTAGACTTGGTGGTTTTAAGGTACTTAGTCAGAAAGGGAGTTTGATGATTTGTTGGCATGAGAGGCCTATTTATGCAGTGTCAGCATGGACTTGTTTTGGTTCTTGATCACTCTATATGTAACAGTATTTTCCTTTAACATTTTGTCGAATAACCCGAGTTCGAGTTCGAGCTTTTATCGAGTCGTTTACACCTAGAAATAACATTTTTTACACTTTGAAAAAAATAAGAAGAAATAAATTTTATAACTCCTAGGTATCTCCACCATTCTCCATAGATGTCTGCTAGATTCCTTAACAAAAGCTTCAGTAGTACAAACTTTTGCACCAGTCCCAAGACAACTAGGTAAAAAGTAAAATGCAAAAGTTTAAATTTGCTATATTAAAAGAAAATGCTATTTGCGGTCACAAAATTGCTATTCGCGGTTTCTAACAAAACCCCCCAAAACTTTTAAAAATATCAAAAACCCCCCCAAAACTGCAAATAGCAAAAAAAAAAGAAAAAAAAATTCGAAAATTCGAAATCAAGCTTGAAGAAGGGTTGGGCTTCGATTTTTTGATGTAATTTCGACTCTTTTATGTGTAATATGCATTGGGTAGGTCGATTACGAGACCAATTTCATGTTAAAAAGCCCTACAAATCGATTTGTTGGGCTTTTTTTTTCGCAAAAAAATGGTCGAACGCCCAAGATGGGCGCCCAAGGCGTGTACGAACGCCCATTCCTTTTATGTGTAATATGCATTGGGTAGGTCGATTACGGGACCAATTTCATGTTAAAAAGCCCTACAAATCGATTTGTAGGGCTTTTTTTTTCGCAAAAAAATGGTCGAACGCCCGACCCAATGCATATTACACATAAAAGGAATGGGCGTTCGTACACGCTTTGGGCGCCCATCTTGGGCGTTCGACCATTTTTTTGCGAAATAAATAGCCCAACAAATTGATTTGTAGGGCTTTTTAACATGAAATTGGTCTCGTTATCGACCTACTCAATGCATATTTCACATAAAAGAGTCGAAAATTTATTAAAAAATCGAAGCCCAACCCTTCTTCAAGTTTGAATTCGAATTTTCGAATTTTCTTTTCTCTTTTTTTGCTATTTGCAGTTTTGGGGGGGTATTTG